ATTTTCGCAAATACAGTAATCAAAGCAACAGGGCGATAACATCCAACATCACATCTGTCGGTTTTTTTAAATAATGGATTTACTATTGACAGCTTTAGAGACTTAGGGAATTTGCCTTGCTCTATACATAAGTTTATTATATGACATAAAATACCCGCAATCAAAAATGCTGTCTCTTTGACTACTTTAGTAGTTATTCCGTCATACCCTGTGCTTTGGGTATTTTTAAGTGACTTTATTGTTTCATATATTTCAACAGGAGTGACAGGGGCCATAAAGATTGACGAAGACTTATTAACTTGTATACAATAGTTACCTGCGTTCTCTTCATTAACCTGTTTCTTATGCTCCATTTGTATAAAGTGATCGTTAAAAGTTTGAGCTATTTCTTTCGGGTTTGTTATTATTCGATTATTATATATAATTTTGTCGATTTGTTTTATAGGGGCATTTGTTTGGTTATTCTTAATAACCTTCCACGTAGCTAAACATTTATTTTTTGCATTTGCTATGTAATAGTTATTCTGCGATCGTTTTGTGAGTTCAATAATTTTTTTTTAATTTTTTAGTGTACCTTTTAAATTTATCTTTTGAGTCTTTATTAGGATTAAGGCGAAATTTCCATAACTGATTCCTTTTATTTCTGCTACACAACTTAATTCCTTTTGTAATCCATTTCGGTTTTGTTTTTAAAGACATTCTTATCTTTATTTTCGGAAAGCATAAATCATAACATAATTTATAAATGTCAAAGAAATAATCAAAGGCGTCATTAGGATTATCTAAAGAAAATAATTCATTGAATGTGAAAGAGTTTAGGCAATCTACAAACTTTTTTTAAATTTTTTTTTGCAAAAATCGCTTTTAAAAACATACCAATATGTCATTGCATGATGCTTCATTACTGGAATTTTCAGCAGTTGGGCTGTGTGATCTGAGAGTGCAAAATCTCGTATTTCGCTATTTAGTTTTGTGAAATTATGGAATGCATTATCTATGCAGGCAATTTTTAAATTGTAACTACTCAAAATTTGTGTTATGCTATTTGTCAAGATATTTGGCTTTAATATGTCAACATTGAAATCACCAACAATGACAAGATTTTTGATTTAAAACAGTACTTGTGTAATATATTTTGCAATATATTTAAAAATGTATCAATATCCTTAGCAGAATTTTTAGGCACTCGGTACATGCATATTATAATTATTCCAAATTCAACAAGCTCAATTGCACAACATTCAACTTCGTTACTAATGGATAGAGCTTGAACTTCGTAAATTGTGTTATACTTAATATTATAGTCTACTAAAATACAAGCTCCACCTTTTCTATTTTTTCGCAAATAACTTGAAGCTAATTTGAAATTTGGTATACATAGATGTTTAATGTCATCTTCAACCATATTATGCTCGGTTATACAAATAATCCCAATTATTTTATTTTCATCTTTTAATTCCGCTAAACACACAGCAAGTAAGTCGGATTTGTTAATAATTCCGTTTATGTTTTGATGCAAGAGATACAGATTATTTTGGACCACGAAAACACTCTGAAGAATCATCGGTTTCATTACTCGCTGATCCTTCCATCGCTACATTACAAAACTCTGTTTGACATGATTTATCACATTTTGAATACAATTTTGAGTTCCCTGTTACACAAGCAGCGTTCTTTATATAATTTAAATAATTTTGTCTGTAACTAATACTTAAAATTTCTTTCAGTAATGACCTCGATAAGTTCAAAGCAAACAGCTTTCTTCGTGGGACTGATTTGCAATAATCCATATCCAAAAACACCGCTCTCTTAAAATTGCTACATAAGAACTTTAGTTCGTAGTTTAGCTTAAATAAGTTTAGGTAATTGTTATGTGGAACCTCCGATATTATTACATTTGTATTTTGGCATGAGGTGACCCAACTCATCAAGTTACATTTTAATTTAAAAGGATTACGATCATTAGATCCTGTAAGTACAACCACACAATCATTTAATGTTAATGAAGATATTTCATGTTTCCAAACATTTAACACTTCGCTTGACTCGGCCCCAGGTTTAATAAAGCAGTAAACTTGATATTCCGGACCCAGAAGTTTTTCCAATGAGTGTCTGACATTTTTCCCATACTGATCAGCAATAATTATGATTTTCTTTTTTGCAGATATACGATCCACCAATATTGACCGTTTATTAGTAATATTAGTAGATATGTTATCCTTGTCAATAACTTTATTTACAACATCTTGCTGCTGAACATTTAACGCTATTTCAGATTTGTTGCTAAAACTATTATTTCTTTTAGTGATCCGCATATTACTGTTTTCTTTTTTTGTGCATGTTACTGTCAGAGTATGTATAAGTGTCTGTTGCAGTATCCGTTTTACTGTCTTTAGTTAATATATCACCAGTAACTGTCAGTATATTACTATCAGCCGTAGAATCTTGATTTGTAGATTTTATATTATTAAGCAATGGTGACAGGATATCTTGTAGTGGTTTAAGTTTATTTTGTTTAGTTCCCTTTCTTCTCGGTGTTGAGTTTGTAGATCGTACTTCGTTATTTTGAGTTGAATTTAATTGTTTTAGTATTTTAATTACCATTTGACAATTTTCCAACTCACGTTTAAGTTTAAAATTTTCTGTTATTAGATTTTCAATTTCTTTATGCGCTGACTGTAGTTTTAAGGCTAAATTATTATTATTTACTTTTAACTCAACTACTATAGGATTCTCAATTGTTGATAAATTCGGTAAACTGTCCATAGTATTCTCAAATAACATTGTCGACGATGATGTCATATCGATCTCTAGTTTCGTTAAGTCATTCTCCGAGTTACACTTAGCAGGTCTTCTTATTGTCACATTTTCTTGTTGTAATGAATTTCCGGTATTCATTTTTCGAAATAGTTATATCTAATCCTTAATATTATATATCTTAAATAATCAAAATATCACAAAATAAATCATAGAGCGTTGAGGGCCTTATCATATAGTTTTTTTTTGTCATGCATCGTATAATAATTATCTATGACATTTGTATTGCGATTTTAAAAGTTATTTAAAAGTTCAGACAGTTTATAAAGTCGTTTTGTCGTGTCTTAAGTTGTTCTGTTATAATCCACACAAATATTCTTTTTTGTTATAATAGTAGGTATAGTCAGATTCAGATTTATATTATAAATTGTAAATGTTTTAACTTTTGTTGTAAAACCAAAATTTATTTAATCTAAGAAAAAAACGTAATTTTCACAATCGGATTAGATTCGATCTCACGACATACGGCGTTCGTGCAAGCGCATTAGACCATTAGACCAATTTATTGGCACTCATCACGATTCAAAAATGTCATTACTATATTTTAAATTTATGATTAGCGCTCAGCTGATTGGTTAACGCAGTGTTATCGATCATGGAAAGTTTTAGATATTCAAACGTTAACTGATTTTTAACAACAATTTTTCTTTTCACTTATTTTCTATCAACGTTCGACACAACACATTTAGGGTAACTTGGTTTATACACTGTTATTGAATAAGTTTATGAGTGTATTATATTTACACTGACTTTTTTATGCCGATTAAAAAGTTATGATTTAGATAAATACACTTTTAGAAAACACTATCACTTGATAATCAGAATAGAGAGACTTGGTATTTAACTTCTATCGATTGAAATAACTATGAAATAAATTTAAAGGATTTAAATCGTGCGGAGCACACAGAGAATGTCTACCGTCGAGTTGCACACTTCAACCAGAGCTCGAAACCTATCCAACTGCAGAGAGGTGTAAGACAGGGTGACGTTATATCCCCGAAACTCTTCACCGCTGCATTGGAAGCCGTTTTCAAGCTACTGGACTGGAAAGGATACGGTATTAACATCAATGGCAAGTACATCATTCACCTTCGATTTGCCGACGATATAGTCCTTATGACAGAATCGCTGGAGGACTTAAGCACTATGCTTAATGACCTCAATAGTGCCTCCCAACAGATAGGTCTTAAGATGAACATGGACAAAACAAAGATTATGTTTAATGTCCATGTCACACCTATGCCGGTAGTTGTTGGGAGCACTATGCTCGAAGTTGTTCACGAGTACGTTTACCTGGGACAAATAGTCCGACTAGGTAAGTTCAACTTCGACCAAGAGGTCAATCGACGGATTCAACTCGGCTGGGCAGCGTTCGGGAAATTACGACATATCTTCTCGTCAGGTATACCTCAATCTCTAAAAACTAGATTGTACAACCAGTGCGTGTTGCCAGTGATGACTTACGGATCTGAGACGTGGTCCTTCACTGCTGGCCGTATGAGGACGCTCAAGGTCGCTCAGCGAGCTATGGAGAGGGCTATGCTCGGAGTTTCGCTGTGTGGTAGACTCAGAAATGAGGATATCCGCAGTAAAACCGGAGTGACCGACATAGCCCAACGGATTAGTAAGCTGAAGTGGCAATGGGCCGGCCATATAGCTCGAAGAACCGATAACCGATGGGGAAGAAAGATTCGCGACCCCCCACTAGATGGAGTGACGACCTGGTAAGATATGCAGGAAGTCGATGGATGCAGGTGGCTCAGGACCGTGCTTTGTGGCATTACTTGGGGGAGGCCTATGTTCAGCAGTGGACTTGTGAAGGGCTGTAATGATGATGATGATAATGATGATGCGTGCTCCTTTTGCTCCTCAACCTACAAGTCAGTTCTCGAGCGAACAATACCAGAGCTAGCTTATTGTTCGCATAAATTTGAATCCTGTACCAGTACTTAGTTTTGTTTAAATTTTCCAAATCGATCTTGCCAATATTGTGAAGGTTAGATGACGTGTTCACTATCCTACTCGGTTCCAAAGGCTTTCCCGTCTTCTTCAAAAGCGGCAGGAGCAATAGCGTTAGTAGGAAATGTCCGAAATAGTTTACTTGCATTATAAAATTCAGGACGTCTTTAGTTTGAAAATCACCGACAATACCAACTCCGGCGTTATTGACTAAAACGTCAAGTCTATTTTCGGTATTCATGATGTCCGCTGCAAACTTCCGCACAGACTCTAAGGAGGCAAGACAAGGCGAGGTATTTATAGATCACTTTCTCACTACCGGTTTTGTCATTGATAGCTTTTATAGCGCTAGCCCCTTCGTTAGGGTAAGGGCATGCGTTGATCACATTTGCGCCTCGGTCGGCGAAATCAATAGCTATTCTTAGGCCCATGCCTGTGGTGTCGCCGGTGATGATGGCGGTCTTCCCATCAAGTCTTTTCTTCGATTTGCACATAGCGTTGGTGTTTTTCTGATAGAGTCCCACCATTACAGACAGCACTACTGTCACAACAACAATGGACAAGATCGTGAACATTGTTGTGCGTACTCCTCGATACGTTACAACTAACTACTGGACAATGAAATGCACTTCAGCGTTTATAAAGTACTTGGATTAATACAATATATGCCCATGCGAAAATAATACTTAATGATATCATAAAAAGGTTTAAAATATAATAGGCGGTAAAAAAGTGAGATGTGTTTATCATGAAAAACTTAATTAACAATCTGCCCAACAAGACATTCGACAAACCAGACTAGAAAATATTCAACTCGCCGATCCTGAATTCAATGTGAGCCGCCCAGTAGACTTGTTGTTGGGGGGCGGACGTCTATTCTTCTATCATATTAGGCGGTATCATTTCATCACAACAATCACAACCTGTGGCACAGCAAACACGTCTCGGGTGGATTTTATGTGGCAACGTAAAATCCTATCAATGCAACGTTATTATGAACAATATAGATGAGATTCAACGTTTTTGGGAGATAGAAAACATACCTGACGAAGTCACCATGACCCAAGAAGATGCTCAATGCCTGGAGTATTTCAAAAACACGACAACAAGGCAAGAAGATGGGAAATACATAGTTAGATTGCCATTTATATCAGAAGCAGTTCAAAAATTGGGAGAATCAAAATCAAGAGCAATAGCGCATTTTAAACAGTTAGAAAAAAGATTTACTTACCGAAAAGATATTGAAAAAGAATATAAATCCATTCGAGTACTCGGAATTAGGTCATATGAAAATGTCGCCATGCAACAAGACGCCTGTCTACAGTCTGTATTCACCACATCATTGCATTCAACGACCGGAGTCAACAACAAATTCGCTTCGAGTAGTCTTTAACGGAGCGTCAAAAACTTCGAGCGGCTTAAGCTTGAACGACGTGATGCACCAAGGTCCCAACCTGCAACAGGACCTGTTATCACTAATTATCACCGCTGACATCGAGAAAATGTTTCGGCAAATTCTCATTCACGAAGAAGATCAGAGATATCAAAGAATCATATGGAGAAATTCACCAACTGAAACTTTACAAGAATATCAATTAGCTACTGTCACATATGGAACTAAAGCAGCACCATTTCTTACCATGATGGTATTGAAACAGCTAGCCAAAGATGAAGGTCATAAGTATCAGGAAAGCCCAGCAGCGAAGGTCCTGCAAGAACATTTTTATATGGACGACCTGATCAGTGGGGGTCATGACCTCGCATCAGCTAAAAAGTTACAATCAGACTTAAAAACTTACTAAAAGCAGGTGGATTTAATTTAAGAAAATGGTCAGCCAATACACCGTGGCTTCTAGAGGGAGTCAGCACAGCAAATACCAACCAGCAAACATATGACTTCAAAACTGAAGTATCTACAAAAACCTTAGGCCTGCAATGGCTTACGCAATCAGATCAGCTGACTTTTGACTTGAAGATCGATTTATCAACATCAAAACTAACGAAACGAAGCTTGTTATCAAATATCTCAAAGCTCTATGACCCAGTAGGATTCTTAACGCCAGTTAGCACAAAATTGAAATTATTATTCCAAAAAATTTGGCAATATGACTTAAAATGGGACGACGAGCTTCCTCATGAGATTCAAGTGGATTGGACGAAGATCAAAGAAGATATCAAAAATATATCACAGAAACGTATACCAAGATGGTTAAAGAGCAACAAAAATGACGTCATCATTCTTCATGGGTTCAGTGACGCGTCGATGAACGCATACGCTTGCGCAATTTATTGCAAGATAGTTCGTGAAAAACAAGAGGGAAGTAAAAACATATCCGTCGTCCTCGTTACTGCAAAATCCAGGCTAGTACCACTGAAAAAGAAGATCAACTTACCTCGCTTAGAACTGTGTGCAACCCTACTTTTATCAAAGCTCATGGAAAAGGTGAAATCATGTTTGGCAGATTACAATATCAAAATGTTTGGCTGGTGTGATTCGACAGCAGTATTGGGTTGGCTGCAAGGAGATCCGAAACGCTGGAACGTTTTTGTAGCCAACAGAGTAGCTAAGATCACAGAAGTTTTACCGCTGGAATGTTGGCGCTATGTCAAGTCGCAGGATAACCCAGCTGACTGTGCCAGCCGAGGAATCAGCACGGAAAAGCTTCATCGACATCAGTTGTGGTGGCATGGACCAGCGTGGTTATCATACTCCGACGATGATAACGTAAAGAAGATCACTTACACCACCGATGAAGAGGTCAAAACCATAAAGCAAGTACACACCACAACCTGCTCAAGCGAAGACGACGTCATTACCCAATTAATAAGCAAGCACAGCAGTTTCACGCGAGTGACACGAATATTAGCCTACATACTACGTATAAAGCAAAATAATAAGCAAAGCTATTTAACAGCACAAGAATTACAAAAGGCAAAGCAAAAAATTACATCTTCAATCACGTACAAAGAAAGGAGTTTGGAGAAGATATCGGCTATTTACAAAGTATAACAAAGCAAGGCCAAATAGCAAATTATTACCTTTAAATCCTTTTATCGATTCTGAAGGTATGTTGAGAGTAGGTGGTAGACTGCAAAACGCTTCGATCAGCAAAGAAATGATGCATCCCCTTATCATCCCCCACGAGAGTCACCTGACACACCTACTCATTGATCAAGCCCATAAAATGACATATCACGGAGGAGCCCGTGTCACCTTAGCGTGGCTACGACAACAGTATTGGGTCCTAGGTGGGAACAGAGCAATCAAAAAACGCCTGCGCAACTGCGTAACCTGTAAAAAACACAACCCTACAAAACATTATCAGCTTATGGGCGATCTTCCTGAAGCAAGAATAATTCCGTCGAGACCATTTCTTCGAACAGGGGTGGATTTTTCAGGTTTTGTGGTCGTAAAATCAAGTAAAGGCAGAGGAATCAAGACCTTTAAAGGATACATAGCAGTGTTTGTTTGTATGGTCACAAAAGCCATACATCTTGAGTTAGTATCCGATTTAACTTCATCAGCATTCTTAGCAGCATTAAGAAGAATGGCGGCGAGGCGTGGCACACCACATCACATTTACAGTGATAATGGTACGAATTTCGTTGGTGCCAACCGAATCATCAATCAAGAAATAATTGATCTAAAATCCATTATCACAAATGAGTTCTTATCAGAAATAAGCGAAATGAATATCACATGGCATTTCAATGCTCCATCATGGCCCAGTGCGGGGGGTCTGTGGGAAGCGGCTGTGAAGAGTGTTAAATACCATCTTCGCAGGGTCATCGGCGAACAAAAACTCACCTTCGAGGAGTTCTCAACACTGCTAACACAGATAGAAGCCTGCCTGAATTCCCGACCGCTCTGCGCTATCACTGAAGATCCAAATGATATCAATTACCTGACTCCATCTCACTTTCTGGCCAGCGGTCCAGTTTTAAGTATCGTGGAGACAGAGAAAGACGAAAGAACACGTTGGCATATGACGCAGAAGATATTCTATGATGTTTGGAAGCGCTGGAAGTTTGAATACCTGACAGCATTATCCGCCAGGAACAAATGGCAGCAATCAACTGAAAATATCAAAATTGATGACATTGTAATCATTCATGAAGCAAACCTACCTGCTGGGAGATGGGCATTAGGGAGAGTTATCGATGTTCATCCCGGCAAAGATGGAATAGTCCGAGTAGTTACTGTTAAAACAAAAAACGGGACTATTAAGAGACCTATCACGAAATTGACCATTTTACCAACTCAGTCTGAAGCAAACTATCAGAATCCCACAAACTGTCAATCAAGTCCGAAAAACAATCAAGAATTAAGTTTGAAAGCAGATCACAAAAACGACAAACCCGAAAAAGCACGATCTAGTATCAAACTTTGTAATTTTATCATGTACACACTGCTTCTTTTTACGTTATTCACACAAACAGCACAAGGATCATTTAATGTAACAAATTTTAAGGATACCCAGAGGTTATACCTCGATAAAACATCAAATATGAGGCTTATCCGAGATGAATGGAAAATCATTGTTTATTACGATTTAGATCCGTACTGGCAAGGTTCGAAACTACTAAAAACATATATCACTCACCTCGAAAACATATGTTCAAAATTGCAAGAGCGACAATAATGTGACATAATCCTATTACAATTACGACACGGGAGCACCGAGTTACACTACTACGATCAGCTGTTGCTTGGTCAGCAGTCGGCGGCGGGAATACGAGTACGTCGCGGGCTTATCAATGGCGTGGGAAATGTCGCGCATGCACTATTCGGCGTACTTGTCAATGACTTCGCTGAACAATATACAAAGGACATTGAACTCATTAGAAATAATCAAAACCATCTCGTAAAATTATGGAAAAATCAGACATCAGTAATAGAAGCACAATATAACTTTTTAAAAAAGATTAGAAACAACAATTGACCAACAACACAAACTCTTCCATCAGCATATCAATAATTTAGAGCAAGAAAATTCTGTTATTAAAGAAGAGATACAAAAATTAAGAGCTAGCAACGAGTTTACCTTATCATCTGTAATATCAAACAACGTCTTAGTTAATTTGAAAAAGATACAAAATACCTTGCTCGATGTTGTTACCGACATTTAGCAGGGGAAATTTGATATACATATAGTATCACCTGAACAGTTACAAGATGAGCTTAGCATCATTTCTGGACATTTAACAAAAGATCTATCCTTGCCTATAGATGATATACATAACGGCGTATCAAAATTGTATCATTTACTGAGAGTAAAGGTCAAGGTCACATATCAAAACCTTTTACTCGAAATTAAAATACCACTTTTAACCAGAGAAAGCTATGACATCTACAGAGTTTTACCTATTCCTCAATCATACGACATAATTCCGATCTCTGATTACTTTGCTGTAAACATCCAAAGAGACTCATACATACCTATGACTGAAGCCGAAGTACAATCCACGAAACTTTGACCTCACTACGAAACTTTGTGAGATACGGGGTCCTGTTTAACATATGCAAAATGATCAAAATTTGTGTATCAAGAATCATTCAACGGACCAATGTCTC